ATACTATGATGTTATCAGGAAAAGATCAAGGTAAAGAAAAATATCTTTATCTTTATAGAAAGGATAAATGGACATTAGGAAAAAATTGTATTTTTGATGTAGATATCACCAGACCTCCATATGTTGTTACGTTAAAAAAAAAACGACAACAATTACGTGGTGGTAAAGAGGTGATATCAGATAGTATCACATTAATTGGATGCCATACAAAACCATCTAATGCCTATAATGAAACGATGAAATTACTAGAACAAGTTTATCCCGAGGTACTTAAGGATTCTGGTAAAAATCCAGTAATCATTTTAGGTGATCTCAATGCAAATTTTACAAGTAGATTGATGCCAAGTTTTATTATGATAAAACCGGATAAATCCGGATATAAAAAATATATCCGGATTGAGGTATTAACTCTACACCCTACCCTTTATCTATATATATAAATATTTGTTTAACTATACCAATTAAATATTTTAATATATATAGCTATATTTAGCATAGTATAATTAAACAAAAATATTTGTTACTTTAACAAAAAAATTATATATACAGTATACTATTAAATAAATTAACAAAACTTCAAGTATATAACTTTATTATTACTATTGCTACAGTAATACGCAGCCATTATTACTTTGACAAATTTAAGCAGAAACTTAATTTGATAAGCGTACACTAAAATGTTCTTTTGTCGAAAAATAATATATATATTTACACAAGACATAATTTCCTCTGCATAACTAAATAATAGACTAAACCAAACATAGGGATAGCTTATTTAGTTTTTTTTGATAACTGTGAATTAACGAAATAAAGCTATTTCTTTTTCTTCTTGAAATCTGGTATGAACCAATTTTATAACTTCAGGTGGATAATATATTTCAGGATCATCAATATTTTCGTGTGCGTCTGCTTCCGCTTTAGTCATCACTACACAATTCTGTAGTGATAAAGGGACATTGTTTTTCCATCTAACAAGAGCTGGTTTCTCCCATGTTCCCGACACCACACTTTTGCTACGAAATAACTCATCAAAGATATATCCAACATCGTGAACGTCTAGAGGTATTGCTCTAAATAAAGGATAAAGGATTTATAATCAGTATAATGAATATGTAATCAAAAAAATTTCTTATGCCATTTTTACTAACGTTACACCATATTTTCTCCTTTCTCTATTCAGCAAATCGCGGTGCATTCGATTATATAATGGTTCGCGATTTTTATTAGCTAACGGTTCCACACGATGCCCGGAAACACTAGTGATAATATAAGTGGCGATTGACATTCCGAAAATTGCAGGAATTGTGCCTAAGAAACAAGTCACGTGGTTTAGTTAAAATTAAAAGGATTAAAGCATAAATACGTACGAACCTAATACTGGCAAAATTCTTGACCGGAAATCAGGTAATGTAGCATATTCTCCTGCACTTTGGACACGACTTTCATCTGTGAAAATAATAAATATATCATTCAAGAACAGTTGAAACAAAAGACGCATCTTTATAAAATGAATTCATGGACCATTAACCTAATGGCAACAATTTTATATTAGGCTTTTCGGTAGAATATACTACCGTGATTCCTGATTCGACACCAAGTTTTTTAAGGCGGCGCCGAACAACTCTTGCAAGTGGATCTTCTGTTATTTGATAGGTTTGATAGGTTCAAAATTATAGATATCATATAATTTAAAAAAGAAATCAAAGAACAACAACGGAATATTTGCATACCAATCGTTTGACTTATATCGCTCATTTGAACACGTGATGGATCGGCTTTAGCACCAGCTCCCATCGAACTCAAAATCTACACGTCAATTTATAGGTTACTAAGGCAGTAAATTTTTGATCATACAAAAAAATACTTACCGGTAATTTATTGTCATGGCAATACTTGAGAAGATCAATTTTTGTATCAATATTATCAATTGCGTCAACAATAAAATCCGGATTTCCTGTATAGAAGAAACTCTATTTAAACATGAAATACAAGTAAAATAAAAAATAATTTTTGAAATTTTCTTACCCGATAAGAGATGAGGCGCGCTTTCTTTAGTAAAAAGTTCAATAATTGGCTCAACCTTTACCCATGGTGCAAATTCTCTAAAATTTTTTTGCAACGCAATAACTTTGGGAACACCGACGTCTGAGTGTGTTGCAACAGCATGTCTATTCAAACTACTCAATGTTACTTGGTCAAAGTCTATAATTCTAATATGTTCAACTCCAGAACGAACCAGCATTAATGCAGCCCAAGATCCAACACCGCCGGCTCCAACAATTATAATGAAAGACTTTCGTAATTTGGCAACTCCTTTTTCGCCAAGGAAGGCAATGTTTCTAGCCAATTGTTCTTTTATAAGTGTTTCATCAAATTGAATCTGGTCAGTGACGGCACTTAATTCCTCAACACTAAGCTTTCTTGGCTGGATTGACCTTTCTGAAGGCGGCAAAGAAGAAAGATCCTTTTTAAGAGCTTGAGTACGCGCTTGCCTTTGAAATGATTGATACGAAAATATCGCGGTTGCTGTAGCTATTGTCGCGCTAAGGGCTGTGAAAGCAAATTGAACTTTACTGTTTGATCTAAGTGAAATAAAATAACTCACAAGCGAATTCATGATTAATCGTCCGTCACGTCTCTTTAGTGAATCTGAATGCTTGAAAATATCAGAATTAACAACCAAAAGCGATTTTTGTCTCATGTTTACAATGGAATCTCGATGTCACGTTATAATACTGTAATAGATCTTTCGATCTACACGTGATTTTATTATTTTATCGTTATTTATTCACTCTACTGCGATAAAAAGTCAAAAAATGAATCCTGCAACTTCTACGAACACTTTCAAAGATGAACTTCCGATCGGGAGTGAAGCGATATCCCGATCTGCCCTTGAACATGATATTAGACTGCTCATAGTTGGATACCAAAAAGTTTGTACCTTATTATTAATATTTAGTTCTAAACGTGAGCATCGATTAATACTAAATGCGAAATCAAAAATTTAGAAACAAAGTTACGATTTTACAACTTTTGCAAGTGTTTGGAAGGACTATAAATTTTCATTAATGCACTTTGCATGTACCGAAAAAATTGGACGACCAACTTTCATGCAAGCCTTATACCAAATCACATTATGTAATTTTATTTTATTTATTTTGTTGAAAATTATCTTTTTCATTCATAAGGATTAACTTATTTTTTATTTATTTATTTATTTTTTTATTAGCGTATTTTTTCAGCACGCGCTTATTAGAAGTTAAATTGGGAGTTCTATATGGTTTATATCTACTATTCTTTACGCAGCCTGACACTTTTGACAAAGTTAGGATTCGCCTGTCATTGAGTAAGATTTCTTATTTTTCTTTATTATTCTTTGCAACACATATAGACTGATAAAATTACATTTTAGAAATGTGGAAATCCTTGTTTGAGCTTTATC